CAATACTGCCTACAGCTCTGACTACAGGTCCTGTCAGTGCCGCCTGCACAGCTCCCAATCCAGCTCCAATCGCAACTCCTCCAACAGCTCCTTCTACATTTCCTGCGACAAGGCGCGCTGCAGATCTCCCTGCACACGTGCGTGCAGCTTTCACTGCAACTCTGGCCACCTTTCCAACGGCAGCTAAGTGTACACTTCGTACTGCATCACAGGCCAAGTGTCGCTTTTATTGCAACTCCCTTTGCAGCAAGTAGTGCGCTTCCACTGAAGTTCCTTTACAGCCCATCGTCAACATGTGATTGCAACTCGTACTGCCGCCATTAATACGGCTTTCGCTACAAGCCGTATTGCGGCCTCCTTATTCCAGCTCCTCGAAGGGGTCTTTTTCCATCTTCAACGGGATTCGGTAGTGATTAGTACAGCCTACCTCACCCAGCTCTCACTACACGTCGCACAGCAGCTCCTACGACAGCTCCTACTACGGATCCCAATGCACAGTGCAGTTCAAAGCACAGGTCCTAGCATAGCTCACATTACACCCAGTAGTACAGACCCCGCAGCTATCGCTACAGCTCAGACCACTCATGTCAATATACACTTCCGATTGAAATTTCTAGTACGGTTATGTTGCACATTACTCCACATGTCTCATTGCAGTTCCTGCTGCAGTCTGGAACACAGTTTCCGCCACAGCTCCTTGTACAGTTCTCCCACTACAGGTCCTATTGCAACTCCGGCGGCAGCTCCTGCCGTAATTGTTACTATCATCCCAACAAGTTCGCGCGGCATTTCTTATTCAAAGATGCAGCCTTTGCTGCGCATCCTACTACAGTTTCGATCGCGGGTACCATTTCACTTTTCGGTGCAGCCAGTGGTACAGCTTTCACGGTTTTTCCCATAACAGCTTCTACTACGATCCCAACTACGGCCAGTAGTGCTGACCCCGGCACAGCTGCCACCAGTGGTACAGATCTCACCACAGTTCCTGCTGCAACGTATACCGCGTACCTGAATACAACTACCATTGCAGCTCCTAGTCGCAGCCACTAGTGCAGCTGCCTTTACAGTTCCTACTGCAGGCAGTAGTACAGCAGTCACTTCAGCATACTACGGCCCCCTAGTACAGCCCCTAAAGCAGGGCCTACGTCGACCCCTTCGTCGGCCAGCAGCACCGTCCCTTCAAGTCTCTCCCTTCGACAGCTCCCGCAACTCCAACTAGATCTCCTAAACCGGCTCTCAATATAGTTTCTGCAACAGTTCTTGCTACAGCCACGAACACAAGTCTCACTACAATTCGTGATGCGCGACCTATTCTAGCTGATGGTACACATCCTGCGACAGATCCCTGTGCAGCTCTGTGCAGCCATTAGTGCAGTGTAATGCCATGTTGTTGCCGCAGCTCCCGCTACAACAACAATGCCAAGCGCAAGCAGTCGTACAGATCCCAATCCAATTGCCAGAATAGTTCCCGCTACGGCTCCTAATAACTACATGTCCATGTCCTTATGTAGCCAGCTCGAACTCCAACGCATGCTGCATATCGCGATGCAGCTCCGAATGCATTTCCTTGACGCAGTCACTGGCAAAGCTCTCGCAGCACCCTCTACTACAGCTAGACGCACGGCAGCTCTCACTACAGCTCTTACTTCTTCCCTTACTAAAGCTCCAGTGGAGCGCCGTACTACAGTTCATATCACAGCCAGTCGTACAATTATATTAACTGAACTTATACGTCAATCCTTACAACAACAACAACCCTTAAAACAACTTCTTTCGCAGCCCTTGGTACCGCCTCCACAATAACCACTACAAGAGCCACTCGCACAGATGCCACCCCAGCTCTTGCTACAACTCTGATGGTGCACATCCCACGACTGATCCAATCGCACTTAGTAGTGCAATTATGACTAGTGCCAGTAGTACAGTCTTTAATATTGCTTTGTGCGGAAAAGGCTCACACTCAATTTCAATCAGCAACAAGGAGTGTCCTTTTCAATGCATCTCCCGAAACAACACCTCATACACTTCCTCGTGCAGCCCGTAGTACAGCTCGCACTGCAGCTCATTTGAACATGTGTATTCCATATCTTAGTACGCTTCGTACTAACATATCTGGTCCAGCTTCGAGTACAAGTCCAATTTCAGCCCCTCATGCAGTCGGAAGCGCAGCTCCCACCACCACCGGCCCTTACTACAGCTCCTATAGCAGGTTGTACCACTGCTCGTCGACAGCCAGTACCACAGTCCTCCTGACAGCCCTTACCACACTATCTTCAGCTGCTCTTACGATAGCTGTAGCTCATACGGCTGATCCGACCACGGCCAGAGTGCAGCTTCGTCCACTTGTGGTACGACTGCTTGTAATGCGGTTCCTATTGCATCTGAAACTGCGAGGAGTAAGACCATGAGGATGGTCAGGAGGAGCATGGGGAAACGGATCGGACGCAGGACGAGGAAGACGAAGAGAGAGAGAAGGAAGACGAGGGGGAGGCGGATGATGAGGATAAGGAAGAGGAGAGGGGGACGGACGAGGAGGAGGAGGAGGAGAAGGGCTGTTGTGCGCTGCTTGTTCTTTTACCTTCCCCATTCCTCTTGCCCATCTTCCTCTCTTTCCTCCTCCTCCTCCTTTCCCTCCTCCCCCTCCCCCCTGAAGAAGGAAACGGGGAGTAGGAGGACGAGGGTGAGGAGGAGCAGGAAAGGAGAAGGAGGCAGAGGAGGAGGAGGAATAGGAGGACTGAGGCAGAGTACCCGAGTATGCGGACCCAGACGGGACCTTGCTGTCCTTGGGTGGTTGCGAACTGCGCAATTGGCGCCTCTTTCGTGGGTTTGTGGGAGGCACGGCGGAGTAGCATAGCACGCGGACACAGACGGGAGCTCGCAGCTCCCTGGGGGATTCTGGGCTGCGCAACCGTCGCCACTTTCGTGGGCTCCGAAGAGTCACGGCGGAGAAGCGGAGCACGCGGACCCAGACAGGACACCGCTGCTCCCTGGGGGATTTGGGGCTGCGCAGCTGGCGCCACTCTCGTTTCGTGGGCTCCTTGGATGCACGGCGGAGTCGGGGAGTATGAGGATCCAGACGGGACCTTACCGCTCCCTGGGAGGCTGCGAACTGTGTAATTGTCGCCATGTTCGTGCGCTCCTCGGAGGCACGGCAGAGTAGCGGAGCATGCGCATCCAGACGAGTTTTCGTTGTTCCTTGGGTGGTTGCGAACTGCGCAACTGGCGCCACTTTCGTGGAATCCTGGGAGGCTCGGCGGAGTAGGTGCGTACGCGGTCCAAGACGGGACTGTGCTGCTCCTTGGGTTGCTGCGAACTTTGCAACAGGGGCCACCTGCACCCAGACGGGACCTCGTTGCTCCCTGGGAGGCTGCGAACTGCGCATTTGTCACGACGTTAGTGAGCAACTGGAAGGTCCAGCGGAGTTGGGGGACACGAGCACCCAGACAAGTCATCGCTGCTGCTTGGCTGGTGCGCAACTGTCACCACTTTCAAGGTCTCATAGGAGGTCCAGCGGAGTCGGGGGCCACGCACACTCATTTGGGACCTCGCTGCTCCCTGGGAGATTACGGACTGCGCAACTGTCGCCACTTTCGTTTGCTCCAGGGATGTCCAGCGGAGTCGAGGGCCACGCAGATCCAGCCGAGACCTCCCGGCTCCCCGGGAGACTGCAAAGTGCGCAATTCTCGCCACTTTAGTAGGCTCGTGGGAGGCACGGCGGCGATGAGGGCAGCGCAGATTGTGTATATTTGGCGATCTTTTTTGTTGTATAGAACGTTCATGCAAATATTCGCGTCGCGTGGAGAAGGGATCGGGTACGTCTCGTGTGCATGATTTTCTCATTCAGGGAAGACCATCGCACGCTGCTTTTCCGCAAACATATTGCTGAACGAGATGCTGTTGTAGTAGAAGTTAGCTCCGGTCGAGGCCATAGACATCTTCAAGAAAAGTAAGTGGCCGGGGCCGTTTCGCCTGAGACATCTTCACATGTATCGTTTCTGAGTTGGCCAGGATTGGACGGCTCGCCTGAGACATCCTCGCAGTTCTGGGTTCCGAGATGCTGGTCGCGAATTGGTCTGGCGCGTTTCACATCAGACATCCTCACAACTGTAGGCTCCGAGGTGCTGCGCGGGAGGTACTCTGGCCCGTTTTGCTTGAGACATCCTAGCAAGGCCAAGTTAAGCTAGGACTCCATCGTGCTCTGCGCAATCGGAGAAGTGGCGCTGCGTACAGTGGAGGAAGGGTGTCAGGGACGCGAAGTGGTCGCGCTGATGGCGGGTGAGGGACGAGCGAGGAGGAGGGGATCGAATGAGGAGGAGGAGGAGGAGGAGGAGGAGGAGGAGGAGGAGGAGCGAGCAGAGCGAGCAGGAGCGAGCAGGAGGAGGAGGAGGACAATGATGAGGAGAAGGAACCTGAGGAGGAGGAGAATGAGGAGGAGGAGGAGGAGGAGGAGGAGAAGGATGAGGAGGAGGCGAAGGAGGAGGAGGCAGAGGAGGAAGAGGAGGAGGAGGAGAGGAGGAGGAGAGGAGGAGGAGGAGGAGCGATGGGAGCGAGGAGAGGAGGAGGAGGAGGAGCGATGGGAGCGAGGAGGAGGAGCGAGGGAAGCGAGGGAAGCGATGGAGGAGAAGGAGGAGGACACTCCGCGGGGCTTGCCGCCCCTCTTGGGAGTGGGAGAGAGAGAGAGAGAGGAGGAGGGAGGAGGAGGAGGAGGAGGAGGAGGAGGAGGGAGGAGAGGAGGAGGAGGAAGGAGACCGAGGAGAAGGAGGAGGAGCAGAAGGAGGGGATGAGGAGGAGGAGGAGGAGGTGGAGGAGAAGGAGGAGGAGGAGGTGGAGGAGAAGGAAGAGGAGGCGGAGGAGGAGGAGGAAGAGGAGGAGGAGGAGGAGGTGGAGGAAGAGGAGGAGGGGGAGGAGTAGGAGGAGGAGTTGGAGGGGATGGAGGAGGAGGAGGACGAGGAGGAGGAGGAGGAGGAGGTGGAGGAGCGAGGGAGCGCCCACGCGGAGAGGCCGCGCTGGTGGACCTGGGTTCCCAGGAGGAGGCGAGCAGCGCCGCGGCGGCCCCGGGGAGGCCGAATACATCCCTTTGTCCGGGCTGGGCCGACCCGCCCCCAAGGGGTACTCCACCGCTTCGAATGGACAGTGAAACTACCCAGACCTCCAACGTATTGACAAAACATGGCGGAGGGTTTTCGCTGTTTCGGCCTGTGCGGGCCCTCGCCAGGCCCGGGCACCGTGAAACAACTACGCGCGAGGACCAGCTGGCCCTGGCGAAAGCGTCGGGACTTCGGGGACCCCCCTATGTACGCATGGCACAAATCAGGGCATCGGATGTCTGGGTACATAAACACTAGTCACTAGTTCTCGAACTTCCGCGCTGATCTATTGGACCGTCGCTGGGCCGCCTGGGCGGCGCTTCCAGCGATGCATCCTTGCGCGCTCCGTGCGCCAGGGAGGGTATCCCAGCACCGATCCAGGAGATCCGAGCGCCCTGACATGCAGTTGATGTTATTTACTTGTTTTTCCTCCTTTTTCTCCTCCTCCTCCTCCTCCTCCTCCTCCTTCCTCTTCTTGTTCGTCTGCCATCCCCTCGATGTGCGATCGGGAAGATCGAGAGGGGGCGCGACAGGGCCTGGCCTTCGCCGCGCCTTGCCATCGGCGGAAGTGGGTGGATGTTATTTTTTGTTGTTGGACCTCGGGCTTGCGGAATCAACCAGATGGGGATGGAAGAATTTGTTCGAGGAAGCGCAAATATGAATAATGGCGCGTAGATCAGAGACGGTTCCCGTTTCCGTCGATAATCGGTGCGTTACGTCGCCTAATCAGGCGGCATCGGCACCATGTTTCGGAGTCATTTTCCCCGAGCTACGGATCCGTAATCCATGTTAGCGTGCGCGCATTCTACAGCCCGCAGCTGGTTTATGCCCCGCCGCCAGCCGCTTTCCTCGGCGCATTGGCGCCAGGAGGCGTCGGGAGAACGAGCTACATGAGTTCATTCATTAAGCCCCAGCTTGCTACACCCCTTTCGCTCGACCCGAGAAGAGTGGAGGCGAAGACCAACATTAGTTCCTGCCCATTTGACCCGGAGTCGCTATCGGTGTTGTCGCGGACGTTGGTCACTTGGCACAAACGTCTCCGGTCCACCAGCGGACTTTCCAGACCTCCGCTTCCAGATTGGAGATTCGAGGCTCGATGTTTTTTGTTTGGTGTGACTGTTGTGGTTGTGTGCGTTTCTTTCTGGGATGTACACACTGTTTTGCTCCTTCGCGATCGCCGCCGTGGCGGCTTGGAGAGACCGAACATCCTGCTCCATACCTGGCCTGCGTCCTAGACCTCAATCGCTTCGAGGTTCGAGGATTCATCCTCCAGAGGTTTCAAAATATGGAGACTGATGCTTTTTATGTCCCCGGTATCTCAGAGCAGTTTCCGGGCCCGTGGACTGAAGACACATCTCGGGATGAAAAGTTTGTCCCAGGGACGGGGTCGAGGGATCCAGGGGTCCGAGATTCGAAAGTATCGAGTCGTCGGAGGTCGGGTTCCCTCCTTTGGAGGCGTGAGGATCGATCTTCTGGGATATATGGTTTGATTTGTTGTTTGACTTATTTGTGCCGTTGTCGGCTTGTGGACACTTGACGGGTGCACGAGTTGCTGTTACAACATGTGGTGCATGCCATTCGCGCACGGCACACAATTTTTTGCCCACGTTTCATTGTATCGTGCAAGTGGTTACATGGCCCGATTGTCTGCCCTGAAGTTCTGTGCATGCGTGTGTGTGTGTGTGTGTGTGTGTTTGAAGTGTGTGTGTGTGTGTGTGTCTGGCGATGCCGCGGGTCGTGTCGGCCGCCGCTGTCCTCTTTCCGTTGTGGTTGCTCGTCTGGTGCCTCTGGCACGGGCATGTTACGCTTTCGTGTGGCTTTCAGGGTTTTCAGTCCTACCTTGCGGTCTCAGGAGGAAGGTGATTGTCTTGCACGCATCCTGGCCTGATCTGGTAAATCGCTGACTGAGTTGTTCAGCGCGTCGGGGGAAACGTATGCGCGCCTGGCGATCGTCCATGTGTATGTACCTTTACGGATCGTTACCGTGGCCCCAGCATTGCGTACTTGTTCGTGGTCCATAGCGCCAGCTGAGGAAGAGGTGTGTCGTGGGTTGCGCGACGACAGCCACAAGCGCATGTTCCGTCTCACCACATTGCTGCGGCTTCGAGCAGTTTGGGGCTGACTGACTTGAGAGGTCCTGGGCCTGGCTGCAGCAGCCCAGCTGGCAGCCGCAGCAATGGACCCCTTGACCACGTGATTGACGGTCACAAACCGCTCCCGCGCGGAACTGTTTCCCTGGGTACTCTTGATGGAAGCCCACTGCTTCTGCACTTTTCGCTCCAACGCCAATCATATACAGTGGATATCCGCCCTGGATGGCGTGTTACTGACGTAAGGATGCTTGACATCGAGCTTGCTCTCGGGCGATTCGGCCGCGAGGCGCTCCACCTAATGAAGGCCGCCTGGCGTTTTGATCAGCGGCAGCGGCACATGCCACGACATCGGCGTTAGATTACGATCAGGAGCGGTTGCTTAGTGTTTCGCGCCGCCTGTTCTGGCCCACCACCTTTCGGTGCGACACGCTAACCACGTCCCGTTTCCCGAGCGTGAGAGCCCCAAGCTTTTCCCAGCCTCCCGTCCCACGGACCCACGGACCGGAGCGACACGCTATCCGCTTGCAGGGAGGGCATCGCGTGTCGCTGGGGCCGCCGCCGCGACACGCTAAGCAACAGTTTCCGACCGTAGCATTGCCGCCAATCTCAGGAGCCATCGTTGTCCTGAGTTTTTAAGCCGACAGCTCGTGCGCCTTCCGCAGGCTCGTGCGTGCCCCGCGTGTGCTCGTGCGCTCAGCAGCGTGCCACCGCAACCTCGCAGATTCGTGCGTGCCCCGCGTGTGCAACGGGAAGGGGCCGACCAATTCATGATTTTTTCGTGACATCGTAATTCCACCAAGGCGAAGAGGCCACCAACGGCATTCAGCCAAAGCCGCCCCAAGGGGTTCGGGTGCTTTTGCTATCTGTCCGTGCCCCAGACGAGCAGCAGCAGCGGGAACTGCAGGCGCACGATCACGACCACGACCCGAAGCACCAGCAGGAGCAGAAGCATAAGTCATGAGCAGGTTGTGGAGGACAAACAGGATCAGCATCATGTTACATATAATTCAGGATGCGCGCCTGCAGTAATGAGAGCGAGGGGCCGAACGGTCTAACACCGTCCCTGGGTGCGTGGCTGAAGTAGGGCTCCGCGCGCTGCGGGTTGTCCTCATTGGTGTTGTTGTTGAATTCTACTTTCTGAAGAATGATTATTGTTGGCCCCCCCCTGCGCGGCATCATATTGGGTTTTTCATGGAGGTGCCTCTCCTGGGGTTCGCACCTGGTTGTTTACAATGAAAGCCTTCGGGCTCAGACTGTGCCCTTGGCCTCTCCGGTTTATAGTAACAGCAACAACGGTTCCCGCTTGGTATTCCTTCACCATTTACTCAAATCGCGCTCTCGCGCAGGACTTCGGTAAGTTTTTCCCAATCATCCTGTGGTGTTGGGTATTCGTTTTGAAGAGACGGTGCCCCGCGTTCATTCTTTCCTTCCTCCCTCCCTCTGCCACCTCCCTCCTCCCACTATCACGGCACACCCCTCACACGTTTCGTGGCCCCACAGGGAGCTCCACCGAGGGCCCCAGTGGCTGCGTTGGCATGGCGGCGCCGCACCCATTTCGGCACACCCCTCACGTTTCGTGGCCCCATAGGGAGCTCCACCGAAGGCCCCAGTGGCTGCGTTGGCATGGCGGCGCCGCACCCATTTCGGCACACCCCATTTGGCACACCCCCGAAGGCCCCAGTCACGGCGCCGCACCCAATTTGGCACACCCCTCACACGTTTCGTGGCCCCATAGGGAGCTCCACCGAGGGCCCCAGTGGCTGCGTTGGCATGGCGGCGCCGCACCCATTTCGGCACACCCCTCACACGTTTCGTGGCCCCATAGGGAGCTCCACCGAGGCCCCAGTGGCTGCGTTGGCATGGCGGCGCCGCACCCATTTCGGCACACCCCTCACACGCTTCGTGGCCCCATAGGGAGCTCCACCGAAGGCTTTTGTGGCTGCGTTCGCATGGCGGCGCCGCGCCCGTTTCGGCACACCCCTCACACGCTTCGTGGCCACACCGGGAGCTCCACCGCAGGCCCCAGTGGTTGCGTTGGCATGGCGGCGCCGCGCCCATGTCGGCACACCCCTCACACGTTTCGTGGCCCCATAGGGAGCTCCACCGAAGGCCCCAGTGGCTGCGTTGGCATGGCGGCGCCGCGCTCATTTCGGCACACCCCTCACACGTTTCGTGGCCCCATAGGGAGCTCCACCGAAGGCCCCAGTGGCTGCGTTGGCATGGCGGCGCCGCACCCATTTCGGCACACCCCTCACACGCTTCGTGGCCCCATAGGGAGCTCCACCGAAGGCCCCAGTGGCTGCGTTGCATGGCGGCGCCGCACCCATTTGGCGGTGGCATAGGGAGCACCGAAGGCCTTGGCTGCGTTGGCATGGCGGCGCCGCGCCCATTTCGGCACACCCCTCACACGTTCGTGGCCCCATAGGGAGCTCCACCGAAGGCCCCAGTGGCTGCGTTGGCATGGCGGCGCCGCAGGCACACCCCTCACACATCGGGAGCTCCACCGGGCCCCAGCTGCGTTGGCATGGCGTTGTCCCTCGCACGTTTCGTGGCCCCATAGTGAGCTCCACCGAAGGCCCCAGTGGCTGCGTTGGCATGGCGGCGCCGCACCCATGTCGGCACACCCCTCACACGTTTCGTGGCCCCATAGGGAGCCCCCACCGAAGGCCCCAGTGGCTGCGTTCGCATGGCGGCGCCGCGCTCATTTTCGGCACACCCCTCACACGCTTAGTGGCACCATAGGGAGCTCCACCGCAGGCCCCAGTGGCTGCATTGGCATGGCGGCGCCGTGCCCATTTCGGCACACCCCTCACACGCTTCGTGGTCCCATAGGGAGCTCCACCGAAGGCCCCAGTGGCTGCGTTGGCATGGCGGCGCCGCACCCATTGTCGGCACACCCCTCGCACGCTTCGTGGTCCCATAGGGAGTTCCACCGAAGGCCCCAGTGGCTGCGTTGGCATGGCGGCGCCGCACCCATTTCGGCACACCCCTCACACGTTTCGTGGCCCCATGGGAGCTCCACCGAAGGCCCCAGTGGCTGCGTTCGCATGGCGGCGCCGCGCCCATTTCGGCACACCCCTCACACGTTTCGTGGCCACATCGGGAGCTCCACCGAAGGCCCCAGTGGCTGCGTTGGCATGGCGGCCGCGCCCATTTCGGCACACCCCTCACACGTTTCGTGGCCCCATAGGGAGCTCCACCGAAGGCCCCAGTGGCTGCGTTGGCATGGCGGCGCCGCACCCATTTCGGCACACCCCTCACACGTTTCGTGGCCCCATAGGGAGCTCCACCGAACGCCCCAGTGGTTGCGTTGGCATGGCGGCGCCGCACACATTTCGGCACACGGCGCCGCTTCAAATTTGGCACACCCCTCACACGTTTCGTGGCCCCACAGGGAGCTCCACCGAAGGCCCCAGTGGCTGCATTCGCATGGCGGCGCCGCGCCCATTTCGGCACACCCCTCACACGCTTCGTGGCCCCATAGGGAGCTCAACCGAAGGCCCCGGTGGCTGCGTTGGCATCACACGGCGGCGCCCCAGAATTTCGGCACACCCCTCACACGTTTCGTGGCCCCATAGGGAGCTCAACCGAAGGCCCCGGTGGCTGCGTTGGCATGGCGGCGCCGCACCCATATCGGCACACCCCTCACACGTTTCGTGGCCACATCGGGAGCTCCACCGCAGGCCCCAGTGGCTGCGTTGGCACGGCGGCTCCGCACCCATTTCGGCACACCCCTCACACGTTTCGTGGCCCCATAGGGAGCTCCACCGAAGGCCCCAGTGGCTGCGTTGGCATGGCGGCGCCCCGCTCATTTCGGCACACCCCTCACACGCTTCGTGGCCCCATAGGGAGCTCCACCGAAGGCCCCAGTGGCTGCGTTCGCATGGCGGCGCCGCACCCATTTCGGCACACCCCTCACACGTTTCGTGGCCCCATAGGGAGCTCCACCGAAGGCCCCAGTGGCTGCGTTCGCATGGCGGCACCGCGCACATTTCCGGGACACCCCTCACACGTTTCGTGGCACCATAGGGAGCTCCACCGAAGCCCCAGTGGCTGCGCATGGCGGCGCCGCACATTTCGGCACACCCTCACACGTTTCGTGGCCCCATAGGGAGCTCCACCGCCCCAGTGGCTCATGGCACCCATTTCGGCACACCCCTCACACGTTTCGTGGCCCCATAGGGAGCTCCACCGAAGGCCCCAGTGGCTGCGTTCGCATGGCGGCGCCGCACCCATTTCGGCACACCCCTCACACGTTTCGTGGCCCCATAGGGAGCTCCACCGAAGGCCCCAGTGCTACCGCCCTCATGCGCCCCGTACGCCCAGGACAGCGTTTCGTGGCACGCCTTTCGTGGCCCCATAAGGAGCCCCACCGAAAGCGGCACCCACAAAACGTTATTCACAATTGCACATGGTTGGGTCCTTCGCCAGGGTAATTGTATGAATGGTGTTTTTGTTAGGGTTCTTTTTTCGCTTGATTCAGACGCCGCGCCTTCGACATTCAGGAATCATGCTCTCGCTCGGGACTTCCTCAATATTTATCTCGCTAGAGACACCCTAGTCATTTATGTATGACTGGTGCTTCAGCGACCCGCCCGCTCGACTCAGCCGTCTGGGCCCGCCCGCCCGACACGCCCGTCCAGTTTTGCCGCTTGTTCTCATGGTCCTAACCCCCTTCCTGCTAATCTCCCTCGTGCTCCATCCTTTTTCCTCTTCCTTGCCCCTTCCTTCCTCCCTCTATTCTTTCCTCCTCGCTCTTTTTTCATGTCTCCCTCGTGTTCCTGATTCCTGCGCCAACTACACGTTGACGGTAAGGAGTGTAGAAATATAGACCTCCAGGGGGGTACGATCGCAGACGAAGTGGGCAGGCATCGAGGGTTTTGGATATACATGTTGATTGACGTGCGACCAGATAGGAGCGGACAGTCTTGAACTGGTTGCTAGTGTGGTTGTTATTGTTATCCTCGCCTGCGCCCCCCCCGTGATCCACCCGCGACCCACCCACGTTGTTCCGACGAAAAAATCGGCAACTGCGGCGGGCTGGCTGAGTAATGTGTTCACATGTCCACGCCTGCGGCGGGCTTCTTCAGACACTCGCAGACTGCCGACGAACCCGCCGCCCCCTCATTCTTATCCGCATGTGCGGGGTGCTACGTATTCCCATCGTGTTTTGGACAGGTGTTGTGTGCTGCCCCACTTTCTTTCGTTGTGTAGTATACCATTGAGGGAGAAACTACGCGAGGACAGTTGAAATCTCGCCTCAGTTCTCTCCTCCTCTTGCTAGTGGTGGGTTGGTGGAGCTCGCTCCCCGCATGGACAATAGGGTCCCAACCAAGGCTAAACCCTCGTTCTTGTCTTGCTCCTCCTTACCAAGTTGGGCTTCTTCTGTCCCCAGGTGGCGATCATCGACGCGACTTGGGTGGGCGAGGAGGTTCGTGCGCACGTGTGCCGCCCCTTCAGCAGCGCCGATGCGACCAGTACGTCTCCCGTGTGCAACCTGTACATCTCCAACCTTCCGTGGGACATCACGGAGGAGGAGGCCCCGGGAGCTGGGTGGGAGCACGTGGGGCGAACGCGCCGAGTCTGTCTCCATCTTTCGCCTGGCGACCAGTCAGCTGCTCTCTTCCTTGACGAGCTCGGCCGGTTTCTATGGATCGTGGTGCTAGCCAGGTTGCGCTCTCGATCCCGCGGGTGTTTCTCAAATCAAGCTGTACACGTAGGAAGGATGAGCAGCGTTCCAAGGGTGCCACTCCATCCGTGCCTCTTCTGCCCATCCCTCAGCCATTGTCGCTGACATTTCACTGCTCAAAAGGCTTCAACTTGGCCGCCCCTGTTAGAGCGCAACTCCGTCGAGATTGAATTCAGCCTAATTCGTCATACTCATTCATTTTGTTCTGGCTAATCTCGCCTGATCTGGCTTGACTGGGTTTAGTCCTGGGCTGGGCTCAATCTGGGCCACCCGGCTCAGCGGCCCCCTACCCGAGCTGAGTAGCACGAAAGCTTCCCAGGAGTTGCCTCCTGACTTACTGCACGTCCGCATTAGCAAGTTTGGCCGTGTACACCGAGCCGCTTCTGGGTGAGGTGCACGCTGCTGAACGAAATAGGGCCTTGCACGAGTGCCCTCCGCCTGGAGGCCCCCCCAGGGCCCAGGAGAGCGACCTCCAGGAGGTGGACATCGCCGAATCCCAAACGTCCAACGCATCGACACAACCAAGACGGACGTTTTCCGTCCTCGCTGGGCCCCAGCATTCGAGGAACAGAAGTAGCACCCCGCTATTGCGGATAAGAGTGAGGGGGCGGGCGCGGGGTGGGTCGCGGGTGGGTCGCGGGTGGGTCGTGGGGTGGGTCGCGGGTGGGTCGCGGGTGGGTCGCGGGTGGGTCGCGGGGTGGGTCGTGGGTGGGTCGCGGGTGGGTCGCGCGAGTGGGTCGCGGGGTGGGTCGCGGGGTGAGTCGCGGGGTGGGTCGCGGGTGGGTCGCGGGTGGGTCGCGGGTGGGTCGCGGGCGGGTCGCGGACGACGCAACAAACCAACAAAACAACAACAATAATCTTCGCCGTGGGTCCCCACTTCAGCCACGCACCCGGGGACAGTGAATGCCCGTTCGGGCTCCCTCACTCTGATTTTCGGAGTTCCGAGCGGATTTCTCGCAGCGGCGGTGGCGCTTCCTAGTGGCGCTTCCAACGCCGCCTCTGGCGCGCTCCGCGCGCCAGGGAGGGGGGTCAGCGTGGATTCAAGAAATCAGTGTGGACCACCTCCGAAAGTTCATGCTTATGCAATGATTCGTTCCCCGAAGGACCGCCAACAAAACGACTGCGGATGAACGGCCGGCCCTGGGGAGAGAGTCGGGATTTTCGGAACCACGTATGGAATGAATCGAGTGGTCGGATACTTGGGCGTTTGGATCGCCAGCCGTAGAATTGTAGACTTGTTGCGGCGCCCAGATTTGAGGGGAGGGGGAGGAAGACGAGGGGAAAGCGTTTCCCCTTTTCATTCTTGCGTGGAGAGGCCGTCCAGCTGGACCTCGAGGAGGAGGAGGAGGAGGAGGAAGAGGAGGAGGAGGAGGAGGAGGAAGAGGAGGAGGAGGAAACCATACGGCCGAGGGGTGGCCGGACCGTCGCCGCCCGTCGGTCGCCCCGTCGGTCGTGGCTTGCGCGCGGGCCATCAAACCACAAAAGAAGAAGGCCGCCGCAGCGGCCAGGACTCTAAAGACGCCCAGGGGGCGGGAGGAGTCCTGGCACCGACGTGTACGAGCCCTGCGTGGACAATATCGTATTCTGCTACGAGTCGTTGCAGATGCAAACCGCCTCAGCAGCCACCACAGCGCTCAGCAGCCGCAGCGCCAACAGCAGCAGCCCCAGAGTGAGGTCTCCGACATGTCGCATGCTGCGGCCAACGCTGGCCAGAGGAAGAGGTCGTCAGGCCCCGCAGCTGGCGAGAACCAGTGGCCATGGCGTGCGCAGCGGGCGCGCAGCACTTAGCGCAACCAGCAGCACCAGACCAGCGCACGGTGGACCCAGAAGGCAAGGTTCGGTCTGGCCCCAAGGCCAATGGCAGCCGAACGAATGGCGGGAGGATGCGCCGACCAGCAGACGCAGGTGCAGTCGCCGCTCGTCAGGCGTCACATCCCCAGCAGCAGGACGGCAGCCACCCCAACCAAAGCAGCAGAGCAGCTTCACTGAGAAGCAGCGCGCCGTGTTCGACATGGCGTTGCCAGTATCCTACGGGGAGGCGCAGGGTCATGAGTTGTGGAGCTCGCCGCCGTCCGACCCAGAGATGCTCGAGGTCTGGCGGGAGACTCGCATCCAGCGCCTCGCCAGGTTGGCGGACAACATCGCAGGAGCCCGATCCGCAGGTGTGGCATCCACCAACCTGGAGTATGAGGCAGCGGTCACGGCGGCGAGCATCACAAGAGAGGCTCCGCCAGCTGCGCTCCACCCTGGGAGGGGGCCGAAGAGGAACTCGCCAGCCTCCGAGCCAGGACCGCAGCGCAGCTGGACGAGGAGGCGAAGGCCACGAGGGTCGCGCGAATATACCAGGTGCTGAGCCGCGAGACCAAGGGCATGACGGAGAGGACCGCAGCCAGTGGCCCGCCGTCGGAGTCTGAAGCTGAAGCCAATGCGGAGCAAGCTGGGCGAAGCGGAAGCGGAGGAAGAGGGCGCGCGCACGCGCCGCATCCAGCGGCAGCCAGGCCCCCCAGGGCGACGCAGCTGCAGGGCCTACAGTCCCCGCCAAAGGCAGCAGCCCGCCCCGGGCCACCAGCGGTTCCTCAGCCTGCTGGTAATCCAGAGGAGACTGTAAGGCTCAAGGCCCAGCTGATGGGAATGGGGCAGAGTAGCGTGGCCAGTCGACGCAACTGCGAGCAGACCATGGCCCAGCAGACCTTGCACGCAGTCTCGGAGCAGCTGTAGCGCCAACAGCGAGCTCACCATCGCGAAGTTGACAACACCAGGAGTGCCGCCCACCGCGAACGCCCGACAACGACTTCAGCCTGCAGGACCTCGGCGTCGCACCGACAGAGAGCAGCGCGACCCCGCTGCCGAGGGGGGGGCGCCCCCGCCACCGCCGCCCGCAACTCCACCGCCGCCACGGGGGCCCATTCTCACAGAGGACTCCCAGATGGTCCCAGTCGGCGACGCCGACGACGCCGATCTTCGAGACGAACATCCACCACCGCCTACTCTGACGCCCACCAACCTAGCAGAAGTTACCCAAACGATCGACGCCAACGCGCACATCCCGACCGAGCAGCAGACTCCATGGGCGACGCCGTTCCCACCCGCGACGCAGTTCCCAGCCCGGAAACCGAATCCCGACTTGCAAAATGCCAACACCCTACCACCCGGATCCTCATCGACCTAAGCACTGAAGGGCAGGCAGCACCAGTTACGCCACCAAGGACACCTATCGCCGACATCACGCCCACCGAGCCTTTCGACCCAAAGTGCCCACCGCCCAGGTTCCACATGGGTACCCCAGAGAGGATATCCTCTCAGGCCCCGGTCAGAAGCTCGATGCGACGGAGAGCAGGACGGGGGCGTGCCAAGAGCCGGCCCAGGAAGGTCAGGATCCGCGACACGGGCGATGGCTTCGCAGACCCTGGTGGCAGGCGCCCAAGTTCTTCGAGAGCGGCGAGAGCAGCGGATTCGACGTTGCCTGGCCCACCCCCAAAACATTGAACACGAGAGCTCCGGCCGTGGGGAAACTGGCTCGGCATGGCGCATATTACCCAACACCAGCGGCACCGCAGGACCACGAGCCTTGGTTCTCCGACTCGTGCTGCGTTGAAGCTGCGCACGTGTGCCCCGTGACCCGCGGCTCCCGACTGGCCGAGAACAGTCATGCGCAACCATGTTTTCCACCACCATGGGCAGAGTCGTCGACAATGTAGGGCCTTGGGGTGGCCATGCACCAGACGTCAGCGACAGCTCTACTAGGGGGCGCCTTAGACGTTCGCCTACCCACCACCGTCACAACCACGAAAGTCCGCGACACACCAGCAAAAAAGCCAGCAAAACAAAACAAAACCGTAGAACTAGCACGGTTCACCAACGATGGGGACCCAAGCCCAACCAGCAGCACCGCAGACCCCACTGAGGCACCAAGGCGACCCCCCGCGGGCCTCATTGACGGCTACTGGCCAAAACAACAGGGGAGCGATGTTCTTAGGCCAGCACCTAGCCGACCACGCAGTCCAGCAGCGCCAGTCGCCTCGGGAGTGCAAGACCTCAGCGACACAGCTATCCGACGTCTGCCTGAGATACTCCCTCCGGAGGACAGCGGCGCCCGCCCATTCAACCGAGTGGCCGACAAGCCGTCTCAACAACCACCACCGGTCGCCTCGAGAGTGCAATGCCTTTGCGCGATCCCGTAGCCCGATGCCCACTTGAGCGACTCCCTCAGGACGGCATCGCACCACCGCAATCCACGCAGCACTGCGCACCATGCCCCACTGGCCACAGCAACGGATGCCGACCAACAGCACGACGCCCACCTGAGACAATCCCCCAGGACGGCAGTGTGACCTGAGACAATCCCTTTCGACGCTTGCAGCCCGTGCGGCAGTGTGACCAAGGCCCCAGCGGCCTCGTCGCAGACCGCCATCGATTCCCCACGGGAGAGATCGACAGCCCGCCTCCCGCAGCCGGCGGGATCCGTGGGATAAGCCCAGTCCCGACAAGACCTCGCCAGGGGGTCGCAACCGACAGGCGACGGGCTATTTTAGTTCGAAGGCGCACGAGGAATGGAACATCACCCCGACCTACACAGGCTACGTCATTACCAGCTCTTTTAAACATCTTGGGCAGCGGTGATGGCGGCACAGGCGACTTGACCTACCGCGACGACGCGCCCGAGATCGCAGCACCAGTCTGCAGCAATACAAACCACGGTGCCAACAAGGCCCAGCCAGTTCAGCTCAGCACACCTACGACTAGCCACCAGGGCCTTCGGCATCAGGAGCCCGACGGCATCGAGTACACTTTCGTCGGCGGCGAGCAACGGATGCCCGATCGCCAGGCCCCCGCCCCGCTCAACTGCCTCC